AATTCCCCCCCCCCCCCCTCTTGGTTAGCCTCGGGACTAATTTATAGGGCCTAACATCCCTAACGACCTTTGACAGATAAGTCTTTCAATCTCATCCTTAAGTTGCCTACAGGCTTTAGTAGTGTGGCCATGACTATGATTAAAGTGATAATACTAATCTTAATTTCCCATATTTGGCTTTAAAGGATATGGCCATTTCACTATATCTTGATCACGAACAATCATTTATATATTTTCTCGAGATGTGTTGAGTGGAGTGTACTCCTCCTCTTGTAGAGGTTCTCGTCATGGAAATGGAGGCCTAGGAGGTAGATTATTCTTCCCTTGCTTCTTCCATTATGAAGATGAATTATCCATCCCAGGTGCACTCTTGGGCTTCCCATTGGTTTGCTTAAATTGCTTTCTATGAGCGTTTATAGCTTTATCTACAGAAATTCATGCCTTCACAGGATGGATAAGATCGGCATATGAATGAACAGTGTCGCGCATAAGTGCTAAATAAAAGGGGCCAAGATGAAGGCCTCCAAGAAATACCCCTCTGAGCAATTCAGGGTTTACTCCTAGAATCTGTCAAGCCTTAGTGAAAAATCCCTGAAAATAATCTTTCAATGATTCTCCCTCATTTTGATGGATCTCGGATAGGTGGAAAGAATCCTAAGCAATTCTTAGATTTTCTACGAACTGTTCGACAAATATTTTGACCAATTTGACGAATGAAGGGATCGTTCTGGACTGAAGCGAATAAAACCATGTTTAAGCCTTTCCTTTAAGGGTGGCAGGAAATCCCTGACAAAGGAGTGCGTCCGGGGCTCGCTGAATAAGCATGATGGTTCAATAGTGGTTGATGTGCTCTTATGGGTCGGACGTCCTTTCGTAGGACTCGATGCTTGGTAGTTTGAGGCCAACCGGAATGGGGTGCTGAAGAATGGCTTCGGTTAAAGGTGATGACTCCTAGAAGTCTTGCTGTCGAAGCGTTTGCCTCACATCTCCTCCGGGGAACTCTTATGGTACTAATCTCCGTAGTTTATAACATACGGCGTTGTGAGGGAGCTCAACAACATGTGGTTGGCCTAAGTCTTCTAGAAGATTTGGAAGAATGCGAGGTTGCCGAGTTGTGAGAGAAGGATGTGTAGAACTTACTGTTTCAGCAAGGTCGTTATCCTGATGTGATTGTAGATGCCTCCTTGGCGGAGGAGGTGCAATCTCTACTTGAAGATGTTCAAGTTAAACATCTTCGGCCAGTGGTGGAGCTCGAGGGAGAAGAACGTCCTCCCGCTGTGGTAATGCTGGCTGCCACGTCTCTCATTGGAGTTGAAGGATCTTGTTCTGAGATTCTTCTTTTTTTTTATATTCTTTGTTATAAGGAAGGTCCTGAGGTTCCTTCTCCAGCGGCATTTTACCCCTTAGGGTAGAAGGAGGTAGATATAGGGCGTCTATGATTCATAGACTGATTTTTGTACTAGTGGGAGTTGGAGAGAGAAGTTCCAACGATACGACTACTGCGCCTGTTAACCATCATAGCAATACTTGAAATTGTGGAATCAGTTTCCCACGGACAACACCAAACTATTGCATCCTAGAGGATTCGAGGCAGTAGAGAAAAATGAAGTTTATCATCTTAGTATTGTATAAAAATCTAGCATAATCAGATAAGAGGGATAGTGTAGCATTTATAAGAGATACCAAGATTTGTACATGGAAAACCCCTGAAAATGGGAAAAAACTAT